TGAGGGGGCTTAAGTGCTGGTATGTGGGGGCAGGGGGCGGTCAGAGGGAACCTGGTTATAGTAGAAGAGAATCAAACCAGCAGAATGGGACATAACTCCTTTTTTGATAGTGTGAGGTCATGGGGGAATACTTCTCAGTGGTGAACCGAGGCGTGATTCTCTTAAGCAAAAAATGAGTCTAGGTGTGAATGTGAATGAGCCACTGGAGCATATTGTAACAGTCTGTGGCCGGAGAGTGGCGTGCAGGAAGGAGTGGCAGCGAAGAGGCTGGAGCCATGGAGTGGGGTGGAAGGCCCCTCAGCCCCTTTTATTACATCCTGGGACATTTCTAGGAGTTTCTAGGATGGTCTATTCAAACACCCGTTTAAACAAACTTAGTCTGTAAAAGATTTATACACAGAATCTGCAGGAATGAATATTCTCTTTATCAAGACTTGATATGATTTATTAAAATTCTATTTACAATTTAAATAGAATTCAGCAGCATACCTGTCTTTTTTTAGGTTTTGCTTATAGGGCCCATGTGCTCACCAGAGAGAGACAGAGAAATGGAAAATGAGAAATCGCCCCCTTCCCTTCTGCCCCAGGCAAATGGTCACACCAAAATCCCTTTTCCTCCATTCTCCTCTTGAGAGTTTGGGCACATGCCCAGCCTGATCTCCAAGCCACTAGGTCTGGGACTTGAACTGCAGTCAGTCATGTGGGAGACCAGCATCTTAACCAGCATGCCACCTGCTGGCCCTGCAACATACCTAACTTATGAAAAAAAGGTACATTGATGTCTTTTCCAGTAATGCATACATCAGAAAAAAATACAGGTATGTATATGTTTAAGGATGTGTACATATATATATATGTTATATATACACATACATAGGTGGGGGAGGCTTCAACAAGTTCATGGAAATGCATATTATGAGGAAACTATGCATGACTTTCCAAAAAATTTTGCACTAAAATAAAATCATACCTTAATTCCGTTTTTCCATGGAATTGTATATATTTGATGTTTCTTTGTATATATTCATCTTTACCATCTATTCATTGAATCCAAGATACCATGGATTGTATTGCCATTGCATTTCTTTTTGTTTGTTTGTTTGTTTACAAAGAATTATTTTATCTAACTTTACTTATTTTTTAATTTAGCCAGAGAGGGACAGAGCGAGAGTAAGAGAGAGAGAGAGGAAAAGTGAGAAAGCAAATCGCCAGGTCTGGGAGTCAAGCCATGGTTGTTCGTGTGGGAGTCCAGCAACCTTAACCACCACACCACCTGCCGGCCCTGTATGACAGTTTACATTTCACTGAGTAAACATACCGCCTGCTTAACTATGGAAAGTAGTCAGTTATAAAACACTTCTTTATTTCAGCTAGGTTAAAATGTAGGAAAAAATTATAAAGATGTCTCTTAAAATATGTGGTTTAATTTAGTATCTATCTGGTAACAGCTATAAAAAGGTCAAAGTCTAAAATTGTACGTACACGTCAGGAAGTGACCTTACTCAAGATGGAAGCGTTTTTATATTAGTATGTAACACCATCACAGTGATCAGAAAATCTGTTGATATTTTGAAGGCCTTTAACTCATGGCTGTCATCAGCCATTGGGAATTGTCCATCAAGGTAGGGAATTGAACTCGGAACCATGGTCAGTTAATGAAGCAGACATAGCATGCTATGCTAGGCCCTGGGAGCAACGGAAGATGAAATTATTTTTGGAATGAGGGGGCTTAAGTGCTGGTATGTGGGGGCAGGGGGCGGTCAGAGGGAACCTGGTTATAGTAGAAGAGAATCAAACCAGCAGAATGGGACATAACTCCTTTTTTGATAGTGTGAGGTCATGGGGGAATACTTCTCAGTGGTGAACCGAGGCGTGATTCTCTTAAGCAAAAAATGAGTCTAGGTGTGAATGTGAATGAGCCACTGGAGCATATTGTAACAGTCTGTGGCCGGAGAGTGGCGTGCAGGAAGGAGTGGCAGCGAAGAGGCTGGAGCCATGGAGTGGGGTGGAAGGCCCCTCAGCCCCTTTTATTACATAGGCAGGTGGGAACCCTGGAACATACTGGAAAGAAATGTGGCGTGATGTGTGCTTCAGCCTTGGTGGCATTGCTAGAGGCAGGAAAACTTAACAGGAGATGGTTGCAAAAGATCTGAGCAGGATGAGATGGAGGTTCAAACCAGAATAGAAGAGGTGGAAGCCTGAGAGGTGGGGGAGGCCTAATCTTGGGTCTCCAGCAGGCTGAACACTTTCAGCCTTGGTGTGATAGGGAGGGTGCTGGTGAGTGCAAGGGAGTCTGAGTTTAGATGCTCATTTTACTGGTGTTCCCAATATCAGGTTTTGGAGGCGAAGCCTGGTAATCTACACCATCTAGCATATTCCTGGCCTTCACTTTCTTCCTGTCCAGGCATTCATAGGAAAATGAGGCCTCCACTGGGTTCATGGGCACAGGGGTTACTCTGAGTCATGGTCAACCAGCAAAGGGAAGTGCCAGGGCTGAGTAACCCCTGGAATGTGACCTGTGGCTGCTGTTATTGCCTCAGGTCATTTAAATGACAACTCCCTCAGGAATCTATAGCGTCACCCATCTCCCTGGCCAGACAGCGCTTTTCCTGTGTCTGTGTGGCCCGGGTAGTGAGAGTGCCTGTTTGAAGCATGCTGTCTCCGTCCCCAGAGGAACCGCTGCTGCTGGCTGAGCTAAAGCCCGGGCGCCCCCACCAATTTGATTGGAAGTCGAGCTGTGAAACCTGGAGTGTGGCCTTCTCCCCAGACGGCTCCTGGTTTGCCTGGTCTCAAGGACACTGCATCGTCAAGCTGATCCCCTGGCCGTTGGAGGAGCAGTTGTAAGTACTCCTGTCGGGCCCCAAAGGAATGAGGGTGTTTCCCTGATGCCTCCCATTCTTACCAGTTTTATTGAGATACACTTTCCATATCCCCTAGCTTGCTCATTTACCATGTGCTGCGCCAGGATTTGTAATATATTCACGGAGCTGTGCATCTAGCACCACAGTCAGTTTGCCAATCTTCTCATTACAGCAGAAAGAAAGCCTTCGCCCATAAGCCGGCATCCCCAAATCCCCCTGTCCTCTCCTGCCCCAGGCACTCATTCCTCTACTTTCTGTCTCTAGGTTTGCCTGGTCTGAATATTTCTTGTTTATATCATCTGTGCCTTTTTGGACTAGTTTTCACTCAGCGTCATATTTCACAAATCTATATATGTTGTATTTCATTTCCTTCCAGTGCCAAATAATACCACACTGTATAGGATGGCACATTTGGCATATACATTTATCAGTTGGTGAAATTATGAGGAAACTATGCATGACTTTCCAAAAAATTTTGCACTAAAATAAAATCATACCTTAATTCCGTTTTTCCATGGAATTGTATATATTTGATGTTTCTTTGTATATATTCATCTTTACCATCTATTCATTGAATCCAAGATACCATGGATTGTATTGCCATTGCATTTCTTTTTGTTTGTTTGTTTGTTTACAAAGAATTAGTTTATCTAACTTTACTTATTTTTTAATTTAGCCAGAGAGGGACAGAGCGAGAGTAAGAGAGAGAGAGAGGAAAAGTGAGAAAGCAAATCGCCAGGTCTGGGAGTCAAGCCATGGTTGTTCGTGTGGGAGTCCAGCAACCTTAACCACCACACCACCTGCCGGCCCTGTATGACAGTTTACATTTCACTGAGTAAACATACCGCCTGCTTAACTATGGAAAGTAGTCAGTTATAAAACACTTCTTTATTTCAGCTAGGTTAAAATGTAGGAAAAAATTATAAAGATGTCTCTTAAAATATGTGGTTTAATTTAGTATCTATCTGGTAACAGCTATAAAAAGGTCAAAGTCTAAAATTGTACGTACACGTCAGGAAGTGACCTTACTCAAGATGGAAGCGTTTTTATATTAGTATGTAACACCATCACAGTGATCAGAAAATCTGTTGATATTTTGAAGGCCTTTAACTCATGGCTGTCATCAGCCATTGGGAATTGTCCATCAAGGTAGGGAATTGAACTCGGAACCATGGTCAGTTAATGAAGCAGACATAGCATGCTATGCTAGGCCCTGGGAGCAACGGAAGATGAAATTATTTTTGGAATGAGGGGGCTTAAGTGCTGGTATGTGGGGGCAGGGGGCGGTCAGAGGGAACCTGGTTATAGTAGAAGAGAATCAAACCAGCAGAATGGGACATAACTCCTTTTTTGATAGTGTGAGGTCATGGGGGAATACTTCTCAGTGGTGAACCGAGGCGTGATTCTCTTAAGCAAAAAATGAGTCTAGGTGTGAATGTGAATGAGCCACTGGAGCATATTGTAACAGTCTGTGGCCGGAGAGTGGCGTGCAGGAAGGAGTGGCAGCGAAGAGGCTGGAGCCATGGAGTGGGGTGGAAGGCCCCTCAGCCCCTTTTATTACATAGGCAGGTGGGAACCCTGGAACATACTGGAAAGAAATGTGGCGTGATGTGTGCTTCAGCCTTGGTGGCATTGCTAGAGGCAGGAAAACTTAACAGGAGATGGTTGCAAAAGATCTGAGCAGGATGAGATGGAGGTTCAAACCAGAATAGAAGAGGTGGAAGCCTGAGAGGTGGGGGAGGCCTAATCTTGGGTCTCCAGCAGGCTGAACACTTTCAGCCTTGGTGTGATAGGGAGGGTGCTGGTGAGTGCAAGGGAGTCTGAGTTTAGATGCTCATTTTACTGGTGTTCCCAATATCAGGTTTTGGAGGCGAAGCCTGGTAATCTACACCATCTAGCATATTCCTGGCCTTCACTTTCTTCCTGTCCAGGCATTCATAGGAAAATGAGGCCTCCACTGGGTTCATGGGCACAGGGGTTACTCTGAGTCATGGTCAACCAGCAAAGGGAAGTGCCAGGGCTGAGTAACCCCTGGAATGTGACCTGTGGCTGCTGTTATTGCCTCAGGTCATTTAAATGACAACTCCCTCAGGAATCTATAGCGTCACCCATCTCCCTGGCCAGACAGCGCTTTTCCTGTGTCTGTGTGGCCCGGGTAGTGAGAGTGCCTGTTTGAAGCATGCTGTCTCCGTCCCCAGAGGAACCGCTGCTGCTGGCTGAGCTAAAGCCCGGGCGCCCCCACCAATTTGATTGGAAGTCGAGCTGTGAAACCTGGAGTGTGGCCTTCTCCCCAGACGGCTCCTGGTTTGCCTGGTCTCAAGGACACTGCATCGTCAAGCTGATCCCCTGGCCGTTGGAGGAGCAGTTGTAAGTACTCCTGTCGGGCCCCAAAGGAATGAGGGTGTTTCCCTGATGCCTCCCATTCTTACCAGTTTTATTGAGATACACTTTCCATATCCCCTAGCTTGCTCATTTACCATGTGCTGCGCCAGGATTTGTAATATATTCACGGAGCTGTGCATCTAGCACCACAGTCAGTTTGCCAATCTTCTCATTACAGCAGAAAGAAAGCCTTCGCCCATAAGCCGGCATCCCCAAATCCCCCTGTCCTCTCCTGCCCCAGGCACTCATTCCTCTACTTTCTGTCTCTAGGTTTGCCTGGTCTGAATATTTCTTGTTTATATCATCTGTGCCTTTTTGGACTAGTTTTCACTCAGCGTCATATTTCACAAATCTATATATGTTGTATTTCATTTCCTTCCAGTGCCAAATAATACCACACTGTATAGGATGGCACATTTGGCATATACATTTATCAGTTGGTGAACATTTGGGTTGTTTTCACTTTGGCGTTATTAGGAATAGTACTGCTATGGACATGCATATACAAGTTTTTGTGTGTACATGGGTCTGTGTGATTTCTGATGTTTAACCATCTGAGGAAGTGTTTTCAAAAGTGGTGGCCTCATTTCATATTCCCCTCAGCAATGTATTTAGGTTCCAAATTCTCCACATTCTTGCCAACACTTGTTATTGTCTGTCTTTTTGATTGTAGCACCCCCTCCCAGTGGTTGTGAAGTGGCATCTCCTAGTGGATTGGATTTATTTTTCCCTGATGGCTCACGGTGATGAGCACCTGATCCTGCCTTTATTGGCCCCTTATGTGTCTTACTCAGCTAAACCTTTCTTTAGATCTTTTCCCCATTTTTAAATGGCCTGTTTGTGTTTTTATTATCAACCAAGTCTAGTTTCTTTTTTTTTTTTTTTGGAGAGGTTTTCGCTATAGGGCACGTGTGCTCGCCAGACAGAGAGAGACATAGAGACAGAAAGCAAGAAATCACCCCCCAGGGGGGATGGTCACACCGCAATCCCTTCTCCTCCATCTCCTCTTGGGATCTTGGGCACGCACGCACACGCGCCCAGCGTGAGTTTTAAGCCACCAGGTCCAGGACGTGAACCGCGGTCGACTACATGGGAGTCCAGCAACATAGCCATTACGCTAACTGCTGGTTCCCCCAAGTCTAGCTTCTGATACTAAATATTTTCTCTTTCTTTGGGACGAACGGGTCCCAGGGTCCCAGCATTTGTATAAGGGGTCTTCAGAAAGGTTTCCTGGGAAATGTGCATTATAAAAAGGTATGCATGGGGGCCGGCAGGTAGCACAGTGGTTAAGATGCTGGACTCCCATATGGCTGACCACGGTTCAAGTCCTAGATCTGGCAGCTTGCTTTCTCACTTTCCCTTTCTCTCTCAGGTCAAAATAAAAATAAACTAATAACACTAACAAATAAAATAATTCCTTTTTTAAAAGAAAGATTTCAAAAAAACTATGCGTGGATTTAAAAAAAAAATTTTATACCATAATAAACCCGTACTTTCATTATGTTTTTCTTCAAACTCTTTGAAATCCCCTCATCTTTTCATTTGTCCCAGAACAACTCTGTCTACATTTGTTTATTCAGCCAATAATTTCGCAAATCTTAGCCTAGCCTGACAATGAGCGAGGGGCTGAGGCTCCTGAAATAAATCTAACACAGTCCCTTCTCTTGAGGGTCTTGTTTTGGTTTAGGCTTTTTTTTTTTTTAAAATAATGCCATATAAATTTAAGCTTTTTGTAAGTCTGGTCTGGAACTTGGTGCCTTGATAATAAGTACTGCTGACCAGAGTTTACACGCTGCTAGGGTTGACGAAGTATAAATTTGTGCAGTTTCTGGAAGAAAGGCTGTTTAACAAAATGCATCAAGGACCTTAAAAATGGTTTTCTGGCTATGAGGACTCTCAGAAACAAGGTCATCTATTTATATACACTGATTTTCTTCATAGAATTAATTGTACAGTAGTAAAATATTAGAAACGGCATAAACTTAAGTGATGAGAGAGGATGATTAAGGAGATTGTGATATTTCCACATTAAATTTTTTGTGGCCATCAAAGCTTGTGTGTTTTTAACCACAGTTTTGGTTCCTTCGATGGTTGTCAAGTTAATGATTATGCCATGGTCATTCATTCAATATTAATCTCCGACTGTAAATACAAGGGACTCTTCTTATTTGGAATTTGAGTCCAGTATAAGTTTATTGTCTGAAAACCTTCTTCTTCTTTTTTTTTTTTTAAGTGTAAAACATGGCCAACCCAGTGGCATGGTGGCTGAGGTGACTGGATCCCACATGGCCAACTGTGCAGTTTGAGTCCCAGACCCAGGGGCTTGAAAAACATGTCAGATGCATGTGTATGTGTGCCCAAAATCACAAAAGGAGAAATGGAAAAGGGATTGCATTATGACCACCCTATATCCCATATAGGGGTGCTCTCTCATTTGTTCACTCTGTCTCCAACAAGTGCGTACAGCCTCTAGCAAAAAAAAAAAAGAAAGAAAAAAAATATATACATACATATATATGTATCTATGTATGTATGTGTGTGTATATATATATATATATATATGAAAATCCTTTGTTTTCCTGAAAATCACTCTTATATTCACACACACATACACATTACTGTAGTAAATACATCCTTTCAGTACTAAGGAAAATGGAAGAAAGTATTTGAATTTTAACCTTTTTCGTATATGTCGTTTAATACAAGGAAAGAAGTATTGTTTTTAAATGAGAAGTTACTGGTTTAGGGGAAAAAAATGATACATTTTGAAGAATAATAGCCTGGGGAAATATTGCTAGTATACGGCTTACTGAAAACAGTAGGCTGGAAACCCATATATACAATATGATCCAATTTTTTTAAAAATATGTAGTGAAATGTTTAAAGTGGTATTAGGATTATGGGTAATTTTTACATCATTATTTGTCTCATTTTCAAATTTCCCCCGTGTTTATTAAAAGATTTTTTTGCTATTGTGCACGTGCGCTCGCCAGAGAGACACAGAAAGACAGAAAGTGAGAAATCACCCCCGGAGAGATGGCCACGAAACAATTCCTTTTCTTCCATACTCCTCCTGTGATCTTGGGCATGGACGTGCACGCACCCAGTGTGGGTTTTTTAAGCCACCGCGGCAGGGACTGGAACTACAGTCAACTACATGGGAGTCCAACAACGTAACTATTACGCCATCCACTGATTCCATTATTATTATTATTATTATTATTTTCTTTTTTTGGAGAGGTTTTGCTATAGAGCACATGTGCTCTCCAGAAAGACAGAGACAGAGAGAAAGCGAGAAATCACCCCCCAGGGTGGATGGCCACGGCACAGTTCTTTGTCCTCCATTCTCCTCTGGGATCTTAGGCATGCATGCACACACGCCCAGCGTGAGTTTAAGCTTCCAAGTCTAGGACTCAGACTGCAGTCGACTACATTGGAGTCCAGTAACATAGCCATTACGCTAACTGCTGGTCCCAATAATGATTATTTTTAAAGTTTTTTAAAAAGAGAAATATAGGGAACCAGCAGTTAGTGTAATGGCTATGTCGCTGGACTCCCACGTGGTCGACCGCGGTTCGCGTCCCGGACCCGGTGGCTTAAAACTCACACCGGGTGTATGTGCGTGCGTGCCCAAGATCCCGAGAGGAGAATGGAGGAGAAGGGATTGCGGCGTGACCATCCCCCCTGGGGGGTGATTTCTCGCTTTCTGTCTATGTCTCTCTCTCTCTGTCTGGCGAGCACACGTGCCCTATAGTGAAAATCTCTCCAAAGGAAAAAAAAGAGAGAGAAATATGGAGCATTTCTATTGTTAGGATTGTTAAATAATACATTTTTATTAATTTATTTTTTAGAGAGATTTTTTGTTGAAGGGCGTGTATGATTGCTGGAGAGACAGAAAAAGTGAGAAATCACCCTCCAGGGAGGATGGCCACAGTTCCCTTTCCCCCATTTTCCACTTGGGATTTTGGGATGCATGTGCTTGCATCTCACTTGAGTCTCAAGCCGCCCAGCCCAAAACTTGAACCATGGTTGGCTATGTGGGAGTCCAAAACCTTAACCACCACGCCATCCACTGGCCCCTGTCACACATTTTTAAATCATATTATGTAGAGCTTTTGATATTGGACAAATAATTGATATTAAAGAAATATATTACTCTTAGAAATAAAATGTTTAGAAACTTTGATTTCTGTGAAGCTAAATTGGACCAATGACTCTCCCTTGCCCTTAGCAGCCCCTTCCTGTGCTGCTACTGCTGTTTCTCCCTTGTGTAACTCATCCTGGTTCATCAGCAAACTCAAAAATCTGGAGTATTTGTTGAGCACTAATTGAGTTCTAGTAATCCCCCCCGATTTTGTGACCCCAGTAAAGTTATTAATCCATAAATGGAGCCTTTAGTACTTCTTTCTAGAAAGATTAAATGAAATGTGTAAATGTGCCTTGAGTTTTTTGTTTGTTTTTCGTTTTTTAGAGAGATTTTTGCTGTAGGGCACGTGTGCTTTCCAGAGAGACAGAGACAGCAAGTGAGAAATCACCCCCCGGGGGCAAACATGCCACAGTCCCTTCTCTTCCATTCTCCTCTCAGGATTTTGGGCACACACACATGTGCCTGGCGTGAGTCTCAAGCCACCAGGTCCGAGACTCAAACCATGGTTGACTACATGGAGTCCAGTGACATAACCATTATGCCATCTGCTGATCCCTAAGGGTTTTTTTGTGTTGTTTTTAATAATATATACAGAGTGTGTGTGTGTGTGCGTGTTCATTTAAACTTTTTAAGATTTTTGCTATATGGCATGTGCACTCACCAGAGAGAGACAGAGAAGGGAGGGAGAGTGAAAAATTGCTCCCTTAGGGGATGGCCACACTGCAGTCCCTTCTCTTCCATTCTCCTCTCAGGATTTTGGGCACACACGCACATGCACCTGGCGTGAGTTTCAAGTCACTGTGTCTGGGACTTAAAACATGTTTGGCCATGTGGGAGTCCAATGCCTTAACCACTATACCACCTCTGGTGTGTGTGTGTGTGTGTGTGTGTATATA